TCCCTTAGGTGTAAGTTGGTGTGGCTGATTAAATTAAAAACGGTTGTGGGGTGAGTGGCCAACTCATCTGAGAATCAAGCTTCTCTTAGAGGACCTCACATTCATGACCCAAAAAATCAAATGCAGCTGGCTCCAGAGAGTCTTGTGAACCCTGGAATTTAGCATTCTGGGCTTTTCCTCACCCATGGTTATTGCCACTGCTTTCCAGATGACATTTGATGTTCTGGGGCTGCCACAGCTTCACCTGGATGCTCCCATCAAAGCTGCCTTTTAGGCTGTGTTTCTCCATGGAAAAGAGCTGCCACTGCAGCCCAGGAGCTCCCCTCCCCACAGGTCCCAGGGGCTTGAGAGTGGATTCCTGTTTATTTCCTCAAGCAGTTCTATTCATATCCTTCAATCCAAATCGCATCTGTCAGGCTCGAGAGGACTCAAAAGTGCATCGTAGGTAAACACCAGGAGTAAGGTGGGACTACCTGGAGTTAGCACCACTTCCCTCCTGGAAGTTTTATTTCACCTTCTGCAAGTCACAGGCACAACTCCAGCACAAGGTCTCGAGCAAGAGCAGAGTTGGGCTGAGACACCCGACTGTAATTCAGGCACTCAACATCCCTGTGCCCAGGGCGAGCAGGGAACAGCCCCCTGGCAGCAAGGGAGGCCTTTTGGGATAGAGAGTCAGGTTCTTTGGATACTGTAGGTGCTGGTCTGGGGCCAAGCTCAGCCAGCTGGATATGCCTGGGAGTTTCAAATCAGCTGAGGATGTGTCCTGGCTGCCAGTGCCTGGCGTGATGTCTGCAGGCAGGGCTGTGGGGCTCTGCCACAGGGACAGGGTGGGGCTACAGCCAGGGGGGGTTCTCTCTACCACCCTTTCTGGGTGTTCAGATGAGATGCCCAGGAGCAGCATCCTGGGCAGTGCAGGGTCAGCTGCAGCACACAAAGCTCCTGTCTTGCTCCACAGCAGAGGAGATTTTATTCCCTTGCTTCTTTGGCCTCAGTTTGGTTTCAGGGAGGACAGACAGGCTTCTCCCAGGCCTGCAGCCCCACACGTTTCCAGGTGAGTGAGATGATAATGCAGGGGGAGTTTGAAGGAGGCAGAGGAGAGACCTTCCCCACGGGGCATGGAAGAACCCTCCACCAGAGAACCCTGGGGCAGCTGTGAGAGTCCACACACCTCATGGAAAGAACAAGACATCCCACAGTAAGCCTGTCCTGCTTTCTAGCTCTGCAGCCTGCTCCCAGGCCATGAGTCACTGCAGAGCCATGCACAGCTGCCTTTCCATCCCCTGCCCTGCTGGCCTCTGGATCACAGCTGAGAGTCTGCAATCCACTCCTCCTTCTCCATCTGCTTTGACCAGCACCCCAGTGCAGGCATCAGAAGAGGCTGTGAGTGTCCATCTGCTCCATCTGAACCAGGCAACAGCCCCACAGCTCAGCTGAGGGACAGAGTCCCATCCCACTGGGAAGAATTCCTTGCCCCACGCAGGACAAAGCCACTCTCAGGCATGTTCCAAGGGCATTTTGGGTTCATCCTGCCCTGTGCAGATGGTGCTTCCAGTGGCCCTGCATCTGCTTAGTGCAAGCCCAGGGAGCACAGCCCTTCTGCCTCTGATCTGCTTCTGAAATGGAAAAAACCAGAAACCCTCCAGCTGACACACTCGCAGAGAACAGGAGAGATGGGAAATTCCTGGGATAAGCAGATTCCTCTCTGCTCTGCATTTACTCTCAACTTTTCCTGAGCTGGGTGCTGGGCTCCCACCCCTGCAGCCACTGACTTCCCTCACACTGCCCAGCACCTGTGAGGAGCTCAGCCTTCAGCCACACACCCAGGGATGAAAACTTAGCAAATTACATTCCCACAGTGGTTCCAGGGCATCCTGTTTATTTATATGCACTTTGGGTTCATTGTTTTGCAGCAGCACCAACCAGAAATTAATGCAGACACATCCTCTAGAGAAAAACTCATTAGAGAATCCCTCCCAGAGCAGAGGGAAGGAAAGGCTCCTCACACTGACAGACTTGTGAGCAGGGGACAGCAGGATTATTAATCCACACTTGTATCATGCCTACAGAGCTGATTATTTGCCTTTTTCTCCATCTCTTACACAGAATTGTTCCCCTCTTGGAAAGCACCAGGGTTTTCTCAACAGCGCCAGCCCTGATCTGCCCAGCTTGGCTCAAAGCAGGATGAAGAAATTTGGATTTTGAACTAGGGTTAGCTGGAGTTCAAACCTCACCCCTCCAGACCTCTTGGCTTTGCTGTAAAATGAGCTCAAGCTGTGAAGGGTCTTGCCCTGTTTGCTGTTTCCATCAGAGTTTGTGCAGTCACTTGAGCTGGGAGCGAGTGCCGGGAGCCCTGGGGTTCATCTGCTGTGCCCAAAGCACCCACTGCCCAGGGTCAGGAGCCTGAGCTGGACCTGCTGCAGGGTTCCCAGGGCTGAGGAGACCCCTTGGGCAATCTCCTGCCCATCCAGTGCCCCAGATGGCATAAGACATCTTTCTAAATGCATGTGAGGTCCTGTTTTCCTCCTGGCAGCCTGACAGCAAAATCTCCTCTTTGCTGACCCCACTAAGCCTTACAAGAGTGGAAAGGACTTTTGAGGACTTCCTTTGCAAGCTCTCAATCATTTCTGGAGCTCTTTAAAGTTGCTAAGTTTAAAGAGCCAGCCAGTTGCTCCAGGCTCTTTGTGATCCCTTTCCATCCCACTGCTGATGCCTGGCCTTCCCAAGGCACAGGACCTGGCTGTCCCCACCCTGTCACCATGAGCACCCCTCACTCCCACTCCCTGGGCTCGCTGGATGAGCTTGGGGGCCATTTCCAGATGTGACTTCATCACTGCTTTTTGCTCTTCCTCAAACCCAGGGTCTAAGCCACCACATCCATAAAGAAATCCCTGCTATAATTATCTCCGTGGCACTATCATTTGGTTAAACCCTTAGTAGAGGGCTTAACTTCAGGCTGCAGAGCAGAGCAATTGCCACGTTGTCAGTTAGAAAAGTCGTGGTTTCTTTTCTCTTCTTTTTTTTTTTTTTTTCCCCTCTCTAAAATTTTTTCCAGATGTCTTTTTTTTTTTTTTTTTTTTTCCTTAGGAGAAGAACCAGCAGCGGTACAATTTCAATGCAAGCCGTGACTAATCCACTGCAGAGAGCATCCAACAGCTGTGTCCAGCTCCTTGGGTGATGAGTCAAGCAAATGAAACTTTGGCTTAGGGGATGTGTGACCTCTTGGAGCCAAACTGGACCTACAAGAGGCACTGGGCTGCACCTGGGAGCCACAGACACTTGTGGTGGGAGGACAAGGTGCTCCAGTCAGTTTCATTAGAAGCAGCCATGGAGTCTTAGACACCATCACAAATCCAGCCTCCACAAGGACCTGGGAGGGTCGAGTGGAATATTTATGAATGTCTCTGTGAGTGGTATCAACATCCACAAATCAGCACCCAGGGATGGTTTTTGGGAAGCGTGCAGCCAAGTAAAGAAACGGGTGAAGATTTTCTTCTCATGTTCTTTGCCACGGATTGACCTGTTCACTGGGAAGTGATGCTGGGTTCTCATTTACCCCTCCTCCATTCTTTCCCCTCTGCCTTCCCTTTCTGTCTTGTTTATATTTTTTTCCCTGTTGGCCATGGGATGTTTAGTCTTACATCTGATCTCTCACATGCAGCAGAAGTGCCACAAGGCCGGATGAGGAGTGAGCTGATACATCCCACAGAGGACAGAGCCAGCCCAGCCTGGCAGGTCATCACGGGACAGCCTGTGCTGACATCTAAACCCTCAGCAACATCAGTGGGAAGAGTTGAGCACCCAGGTCCATGTCTTAGCCCTCTCAAAGATAGCACATAATCAAGAATGAACCCAAACCCCAGGCAGCCAAAACAAAACACGATGTTGAATTTTTGCTATGATCTTGGGTGTCCTTCACCCAGCAACCACAATCTCACTGCTGGTGCCCAGATGTCCTCAGTCCTGCTGGCTACATGAGACATCATCTTCCCATTGCCCTGGAGAGCAGCCCCGGGGTGAGGTTTGATGCCACAGGGGGATCACAAGCTGCAAAGAGCTGGATTATCCACAGGGCTCAGGACAGCTCTGTATGGCACAGAGACATTCTTTGGGGATGCCCAAACTGTAGCAATTTTTGGCTACTGGCTCTCCTTTGCAGTGCAGTGCCGAGGCCATGTTGGTGCTGGGGAGCAGATGCACCTCAAATCCTTCAGCCATGGGGAGAAGCAAGGAGAGAGGAGCTGGGGTTTCACCCTGGGCATAGAGAGGAACAGATGGGAAAACTCAACTCCAAACAGTTTTGCTGCTTGGCTGCCTCTGGCTGGGCAGCTGCTCCAGCTGAGTTATGATCTGTAAATAGTGAGTGATGTCTGAAGACACCACTGAATTCAGCTGAGTGGCAATTCTCGCCGTGGGTTTTGTTCAATCAGTCCAGATCTGCTGGATGATAACCACAACAGAGAGACCACTGTGCTGAGAGTCACATCTACCAGCCCAGCATTTCTCTGCCTGCTTATAGCATTTCAGACACGTCTTTATCCTCCACATTCTCTGGGTCATTCTTTCCTCTCCCTCTCCACAAGGCATTCACAGATAGCAGCAATATTAGGAGGCAGGATGGAGAAACAAAAACTCTTTGTTTTCCTCTGCATCCCTCTGAGGATGGGAAACACCAGCTCAGGCACTGAGCTACTCCTCTGAGAAATGACAGCATTTAGCATTAGATATGCAGCAGGTCGAGGTGTTAGAAGGTGCAGAACCAGGCAGAGAGGTGGCATTCCCCCTTCGCTGTGTGCTGTCAGTGCAAGAGAGGCAGAAAACTGAAAACTCAGTGCAGGCAGCTGCTGTGACAGTGACCCTGCTGGGAGAGCTGCGCTGGGGACTGGTCTGTCCCTGACAGGGACCCTTTGATTTCCAGCTTGATTTCTCTGGTCTATCCTTTGGAGCCAGGCTCAGGGACTGCCCACTGGGAAGCGGAGCAAAGGAAGTGGACCGATTTGGAAAGCTAGAGAGGAGGAGGAGGGGGAGAGGCAGAGGGAAACCCAGCCCACCCTTTGGCTTCCTCCTGCCTCCTTCTAAAACTTTCAGATTCCTCCAGCCTGTGCAAGCGCCTGAAGTTCCCTGAGCCGTGCTGCCGGGACTGCGAGGTATGGCCCGAGCTTCGCGATTGCCTTTGCTGTGCTTTCCCTCCCGGCACGGGGGTCCCCACAGCCCCACTCGTGGGGGTCCCTGGCCCGGGACCCGCTGTCCCAGTGCTGGCAATGCGTCACTCGGGATGGGGAGCTGGATGCTCTCCACCCCAAGCAGTGCATTTAGAGACCCCTCCTGACTTCACCCCTTTCTGCTCTTCGCAGCATTTCCCCTTCTAAACTGGCTCTTACTCAATTTCACTGCCAGAGCTTTAATGCTTTGGTGGCATCTGATTGTAAAGGTTTGACTTGCCCTCATTCCTCTCTCTCCTCCCTTCTTCCCCTCTGTGTTTTCAGCTGGTGGGTAGCTCTTTAGTGAAATGCATGACACGAATGTCTGGGCACATCAAACCAACCTGCAGAGAAAATCAGATGTAGTTATGAACAGTCCCCACTGCTCCCAGCCTGAGGTGTGTTGGCAGGTGATGTTTTACTCACCAGAGCATCGAGAGGAAGAACAAAAGAGCTGTCGGCTTCATGTCAGGGGTTTTATTTTTTCAGTGCAGCCGGTCTTATTTCTCCCTTGAAAAAAAAAAAAAAAAAAAAAAGAGACACTCGGCTTTTTGTTCCAAGCAAACTCTGAAAGCTTTTCAAGTCTGCTGCCCTGGCTTGCCAAACTCTGGCTGATCGACTGTTAGAGAGACCGAGATTGCAGGAGAGGAGGAGCAAAGCTCTTTCGGGGTGGTTTTTTTTTTAAGAACTTGGGTTCCATCAGGCACAATTTTAGGTCCCCACAGAAGAGACGAGGGCTCGTTTCCTTTAAAGGCAGCCACTGTCCTTCCCGGCCCACTGACGTGACAGTCTCACTCTGCTCTTTGTGTCCCTTCTCTAAGAAAGCTCCACTCTGTTGCATCCAGCCAAAAAAAAAAAGGGAAATTTAACCGGCTGGGGGCTGAATCCCCACCCAAACAGAAAGGCAAAAGTTTCAAGTTGGAGTGAAACCGAGGGTACCGGCAATGGCACCAGTACTCCCGAGTCCTCAGAGACGACCAACTTGAAACAGCCCAAAAACTCAGCATCCCTCCAAAAGGATAAAAGTTAATTGCAGCAATTAACAAATTGCAGTTTGTTAGGGTGGACCAGGCGAGTTTAAAGTCGAAAAGAAAAGCTGTCGCGTCCGGCGCAGTAGCCGAAGCCAAGCCATTGTCTGCCACATAGGCAGGAGCAGGGGTGCGGGCGGTTTTGGGAGGGGGAAGAGCAGAAATAAACTTTCCGAACTTTTTTTCAAGCCCTTCCTTCCACAACACTCTGCTCTTCCATGACTCAGCCCCAGAGGAATGTCGGCTCCCATGGAAACCTTTTCTGGGTCCTCTGGTCGGGGGATGTCGGGGCTGTTATCGCTGGAGCGCTTGTGGCAGGGCAGGTCCAGGGAATGCTCTGGAGATGGTTTGCATTTTTGCAGAATATTTATCGGACAGTTTATTCTCTGCCTCCTTTGTGGAGCTGTGCGGGATCAGCTGGTGGCACCCCCGGGGCCGGAGGGACCTCCCGCACCTGGCACAAAGCATCCGGGCTGCTTTTGGCACTGCCTTAGGTCCAGCCACACAAAACAAAAAGCTCAGGCAGGACAGCAAAATTCTGCCTCGCCTGTCTGCACAGGGCTCATCCATGAGCGGCTGCCTGCAGCCCATGGCACATCCAGGCTCTTTTCTTGGTACTAATTTAAGTGGTTTCTATTAGAGATTCAATCTCCAACCTGGAGAAACTATGGCAGCTCCAGAACACAGTTGTGATGGGGCTGGGCTCTTGCTGTTGTATCAAGCCCTGTAAGACCTGAGCATTTCTGAGCTCACACAGAGCTGCTCAGCTCCCAGCACAGGGAATGTGTTCACACAGTGCTGTGGTGTAGCTCTGTCTTTAGTGACTCCACACGGGCACATGGGGTAGGGGGATTTCTCCCCCCCACCCCGTGTTTTACTCAAAGTGTGTGTGTGAGCTAAAGAGAATTTCACTTCCCTCTAAACCTTGCATGGCTTTCTGACAGCTTTTTCTCACAGTGTGTGAGAGGGGTCTGTGCAGGTGGCAGGACCAGGCTGGCTTCTGCCCAGTCCCCTGCCCTGCTCCCCAGGCACCCAGGGCAGCTGCAGCACATCTGGGTGAGCAGGCACCGAACGTGCAGGGACGTGTTCAGCAGGGAGCTTCATGGGAACTCACGCAAACATCTCCGGCTCCAAATGGAATTTTAGCCTGGGAGTGGCTGCTGAGTAAAGCTCAGAGGGTCTTGCCTTCATAGGGAGGGCAGGGCAGGCCGTGGGGACCCAGCCCTGGTGTTGTGTCTCTGTGGGGGTCACACTTGGTCACCCACCTGCACCTTGAGCACTGTGGCCCCAGTCGGGCTTGGCAGAATCTTTTTCTGGCCCAGCTTTGCCTTTACACTCAGCGTGAGCTGGAGAATGTCAGATCCTCCAGAGACTTGGACGAGCAGTGAGCAGAGGGAGGGTGGGTGCAGGAGACCCTGCTGCCAGGCTGGGGTGCAGGCAGGAGCTGGGGCATGGCAGGGCCGTGCCCCCCATTGCCCATTCCTGCCTCCGTGGCTGCAGTGGGAGGAGGCAGCAGAGCCCCTCGCCCGGGTTAGCAGGGGTGGCAGCCGGGGTGAGGAGGAGCTGTCCAAGTGGCCAGGGAGAGACTCCTCCCCACGCTAACGTGGCATCCCAAAGGGCTTACGCAACCCTGGCCGGGCCAGCGCCACATGGACCAAGCTCCACCATCCATGGAGCCTCTCCTGGAGGCTGCACCCACCCCAACAGTGTCCTCCCCAACCCACAAAGGCCCCAGACTGGGGTCCCCGTGACAGACCCAGTGGCACAGACTCTCTGTGCATAGCTGCAGGGTGTGTTCCCCGTCAGGAGGAGCTCATTATGGTGCCACAAGCTTGGGGGGAGCGTGGTAAAGAGTTCCCTGAGCAGCTGGCTTGGAGTCTCTGGAGGTGCTGAGGGTCAGCCTCTGCCCTCTCTGCACCCCTGGTTTTCTTCTTTGGGGTATGGCTGTGAAATGCAATGAGCAGCTGGTGCTGAGGGCCATGCTGCAGAGGTGAACCACTGAGAGGGGTCTGGGGGAGCCCCCAGACTCTGTTTAAAGAGTGACTGGGAGCTGAAGTTCCCATGTAGGATGCAAGTGGGATCAGGTATTAAAAAATCTGCCCAGCCCATGAGTCCTGCAGCCCATGGTGCCCTCTTGTCTGCTCAATCCACAGCATTCAGGAGGGCAGGCCTGAGGAGAGGGTGGTGACCATGGAGCTTGTCTTATTCTATACTCAGCAGCCCTTTCTGTGCTGGTTTCCAGCATCCTGCAAAGTGCTGGTGTCTGTTGATTCCTTTAGGATGCAGAAGAGCCTAAGTCCCTGCTTGCTAAAATATTTTTCCTTGTTTTCTTCTGTCCAAAACAACCCTATGGCTGCACCCTCCTTGCTGCCCTGTGCCCTCCATGGGGCTCACAAAGCAGTGCCAGGCATTCCCAGTGCAGAGCCCCTCAGGGATCCTCCCAAGTCCCTGCAGCTGGGGGATGGATGCTGAGCTCGTGGTGTGGCCCAGCTGCCAGCTCCAAAGAGCATCCTCTTGGATAGCAGGACCATGGTTGCTCCACAAGAAGGGAGACTTGCACCATGGACCACGTTATCCTGATAGAGCAACCCTGTGTGCAGGGCTCCCGAGCTGTTATTTCAGGACTTTTGGCCACCAGGCATTCAGGAATGACCATTTGCAACCCAGCCAGGGGCTCACAGACTCTGTAATGTCCTTGCTGCACAGCTTTGCCTCCAAAAAGTTGTTATTTTATAATAAATTTGTTTTACCGTCTAAGGCACAAGACAGTTCTGCAGAGCTTGTTTGCTCAGACTTTTTCATGCTCCTTCTTCCTCCAAACACAACACTGGCAGCTCCAGCTGTCTGCTGGCTCCTAGCAAACACCTAATTCCCTGACCCCACTTACTGCATGCCCAGCCTTTGAAATTCCAGGCTTTTTTAAAGCTTGGGGAAATGATCTAAGATGGCCTTGGTGTGGGGTTGGGTTCTTCTTAGTGCCACCTCCCACATGTGCATGCACTGCCCTCTCCTCCAGGCTGGGCACTGCCCAGTGAGCATCACTGAGCCTCAGAGCACCTTCCAAAGCAAACAAGCCCCTGGGAGAAGCCCAGGAGGAGCCTTTACTAGCCAGGGGATACCAGCAAGGGGGGAGATGGCCAGAATCACCTGTACTTTTCCACCTCCCTCCCCAAACAACCCTTGCAGAAAGAAAGAACCAGTGATCTCTGCTGGCTGATGCTGGCAGAGCTCACAGAAACCTCCAGAACAAACCAAAACAAGGGGAAAGGACAGCTCACACCAAGGAGGAGAGGAAGGAGGTGCTCAGCTGCAGCCTCAACAGCCCCAAAGAGCTCATCACCCCTCCCCACAGCCCCAAGGAGCCCATCACCCCTCCCCACAGCCCCAAAGAGCTCATCACCCCTCCCCACAGCCCCAAAGACTCATCACCCCTCCCCACAGCCCCAAAGAGCCCATCACCCCTCCCCACAGCCCCAAAGAGCTTGTCACCTCTCCCCACAGCTCCTCTGCCACAGGCCCTTCACACCAGCACAGCAGCCATCCCCACCACCCCCTCCCAGCCCTCTGACATCCCAAAAAAACTGCCTTCCATTCCTTGACCCTTATTTTGCACAGACACCCCACTAGAGGCTGGGGGAGATCCTGAGATTGGAAAGAGGCTGTTCTCTGAGTGGCCAAACCTCTCTAAATTAGGAAGCCGAGCCCAGCCAGGTTTGGTGCCCTGGCAGCACAGCTCTGGTGTGGCTTTATACCCAGAGAGCTGCTGTGCACGAGGAGGAAAATGCAGTGACATCAGATACCCTGGGAGACAAGAAGAAACCTCATGCAAGGCTTTCAGTCCCAGCAAATCCCTCTCTGTGTGGCTGGCCCCGAGGCGGGCTGTGTGCAGGTGGAGAGGAGCAGGGCAGGGCGAAGGGGAGGTTGGCAGGGGCGAGGTCCCCTCGCTGGCAGGGGACAGAAGAGCGGCGCTGTGCCGTGTCCCCGCGGGCGGAAGGGAGCGGGCAGCCCCGCTGGCAGCCGCGGAATGCCAGCGCACAAAGCGGGCAGCTGAGCTCCGCTCCGCCCGCACACAGAGCGCTCAGCCCTGCCAAACGGGAACCGGGGGGGACAAGGACACGGGGATGTCACCAGCTGTGCTCTCCCGGCTCGCACCGCAGCTGGGCTGCCTCTCCTGCAGGGACTCTGCAGCAGCCCACGCCGGGAGGTGCAAAGGGCTCATCAAAGGCACAACCCCCAAGTGGCTTGGATCCCTCAAACCCAGCCTGGGGACCCTCAGGTCTGAGCAGGAAAGGGAAAAGCAATAGACATCCCAATATTTTGTGGTGCTGGGGATGAGGGACTGGTCTGTGATACCCCTAGGGATGTCTGTGTCCATGAGGGAAGGGGTTTTCTACAGGATTTAATTCTCAAGTGCTGTCTCATTGTCTCTCTGTTATCTCTTTCCTTCATCCACTTCCATATTTTTTCTGATTGGCAACTAACATGCTAGAGTTTCATTCCTTGTACCGGGCACTCATATCAGGGGATTTTTAATGTGAAAAATGTGGGGGATTGGTGAAAATAAACTCTCCAGAGAAGGAAAGAGCCATTTTGACTGTAATTTTCCTAAAGGTATCCAGGAGAGCAACAGACATCTAAACCCCACTGTCTCATTTTGCAAAATCAAACGAATTTATCTTGGAAACACGATTTGGCCCAAGGTTTTGCCTAGAAAAGCCAGCATGTGGGTCTGTAATACTGAACAGACGAGGCAGGAAATGGAGAGAACACCTTCCTCGAAGTGTCTGCTCAGCCTGGAGCCCAGCAGCACACAGTGGCCTCCTTCCTCATCCCTCCTTTTCCTCTGCTTTGTTCAAGGTCTGCTGAAAGATGAGGGCCTGGATTTTTTTCCTTCTCTGCCTGGCAGGCAAAGCCCTGGCAGCACCGGTAAGTGCAGGAGACAGGGGAGCCTCTGCTGTTGGAGTTGTTCATATGGAGCAGCTGATGGGGATTTGCTTTTATAACAAATAAAGTACTGAGGAATGAGGAATCATTGTTCCAGTGGGTCACCCCCCCTTGGGACTGTCCCGTGGACCCCCACTCATGTGCATTTTCCTCTGCAGCAGGAGGCTCTGCCCGATGAGACAGAGGTCATCGAAGATCCCACCACAGAGGTAGGTGGTTCTGTCCCTGCTCCTCTCCCATCCCCTCAGCACCCACTGCTCTGCAAAGAGCATCTCCAAAGCTCTGGGGAGCCATGGGGGGCTGCTCTGCCCCCCAGGAGCTGGGGCTGTGTACCCACAGCAGAAACACTAACCTCTCTTGCAGGAGACTGTGGGGGCTAATCCTGTCCAGGTGGAGGTGGGAGAGTTTGAGGAACCCACGGAGGATGTAGAGGAGATTGTTGCAGAGAGTAAGTCACTCTTCCCCTGCCCTCCAGCTGGCAGGGACACTGTCCCCTGCCTGTGTGGGGGAGCTTTAGCCACCCCAAACAGTGAGGGGCTCCTTTGGGAAGGGCTGTAGCACAAGGACGATGCCAGCCTGGGTGCACATTTAAAGCAAGAGGCACATGGCATCTTCCAGCCCTGGGCTCTCTGCAAGCCCATCTTTGCAATAGAAAAGCCATTGGTGTGGCTACAGAAAGGAGTCCACGATTAGCCCCAGGGCTAACATGGACTTCTGGAAACCTTCACATCTTCCCAGTGTGAGAACAGATGTGGGGGGTGTCCCTGGCAAAGTTTCAGTCTTCCCTCTGTGCTGAGGTGCCCTGAGCATCTCATGGGAGGTGAGGATGTGGCTGGCTCTGACTTTGCTCCCCTCCTGCTCCAGACCCCTGCCAGAACCACCACTGCAAGCACGGCAAGGTGTGTGAGGTGGATGACAACAACTCGCCCATGTGTGTGTGCCAGGACCCCTCCAGCTGCCCCGCCACCGCCGGCGTCTTCGAGAAGGTGAGAACAGGCTCTGCTCGGTGGCCCAGGGCAGGGAGGGACCCACACGGGCTTTGTCAGAGATGGTGACACATGGAGACAGAGCCAGGGTGGCTGGTCCCCATCTGGTGGTGAAGAAGGAGCTATTACCCCAGGAACAAGCTAAACATCTCATCTGGAGGCTCTCCCTGCCTCTCACGCAGCATCTCCCTTCTGTGCAGGTCTGTGGCACTGACAACAAGACCTACGACTCCTCCTGCCACTTCTTTGCCACCAAGTGCACCCTGGAGGGAACCAAGAAGGGACACAAGCTGCACCTGGACTACATTGGGCCTTGCAAATGTAAGTGGAGTACTCCCTCAGACAAGGGGACCCCTAAGTGGGCACAGCCCCCATGTTCACAGCCTGGTGGAGAGCAAAGGTACTGGCAAGTTCAGGGCTGAGGTGGGAGGGCAGCGGGGCTGTGTCCAGAGCATGGAGCTGCATGTCCAGATACTGCAGTGACCTCTGTGTGTGACTTGCAGTCATCCCTGCCTGCCTGGACACAGAGCTGACCGAGTTCCCCCTGCGCATGCGGGACTGGCTCAAGAACACACAGCCCCCATTTTCACTTTGCTCTCCACAGCCTGGTGGAGAGCAAAGGTCCTGGCAAGCTCAGGGCTGAGGTGGGAGGGCAGCAGGGCTGTGTCCAGGGTGTGGAGCTGCATGTCCAGATGCTGCAGTGACCTCTGTGTGTGACTTGCAGTCATCCCTGCCTGCCTGGACACAGAGCTGACCGAGTTCCCCCTGCGCATGCGGGACTGGCTCAAGAACGTGCTGATCACGCTGTACGAGCGCGACGAGGACAACAACCTGCTGACCGAGAAGCAGAAGCTCAAGGTGGGGCACAGGGGAAGGGGTCTGGGAGCTCACCCCCACACTGGAGGCCAGCACAGGCAGGGAGCCCATCCAGGGAGCACTTGCACCCCATTTCCCTGCTGACAAGGCCTCCCCGGCCTCTCCCACGGCAGGTGAAGAAGATCCACGAGAACGAGAAGCGCCTGGAGGCCGGCGACCACACCGTGGAGCTCCTGGCCCGGGACTTTGAGAAGAACTACAACATGTACATCTTCCCTGTGCACTGGCAGTTTGGGCAGCTGGACCAGCACCCCATTGATGGGTGAGTGCCAGCAGAGCAGGATGAGGACCCCAGAACCATTTCCTGCCTGAGGACCAGGGTGATTTGGCAGTAGAAGGTGTCAAGGCAGGGTGGAAATGTGACACAAGTGGGTGGCTGGTGGCAGAGGTTGTGGCAAACCAGGCTGGGGTAGAGGCACCTTTGCCTCCTGCAAACTGCTCTTCTGCAGGAAGAGGGGCCTCCCCCAGCCCCAGCTGCTCCCACCTCCCTTGGGTGTGGATCTTCTCAGATTTACTGTTCTATGAGAGTGCCCTAAAATATCTTAGTCCAAAGGCCCTGGGATAACTTCAGCAGCTGAGATAGCAGCTGCTGGCTTAGCTGTGGGCTGCAGATGGGCATGGGAATGATCACACAGGCCTGTGGGGCGGGGGGCAGCTGGCAGGGACCCCCAGCTGGTGGCTATTTTGTGACCAGCACAGCTGGCTGCAAAGACAGATACCAGTCCTTGACCCTCGTGCCACTCAGTGGCTGATACTGGGAGGGCACAGCAGCCAAAGCAGGGAGCTGGGGCCAGCATCTTCCCTCCTGTGAGCGCGTGATGGCCTCGGCAGGTACCTGTCACACACGGAGCTGGCCCCGCTGCGTGCCCCCCTGATCCCCATGGAGCACTGCACCACTCGCTTCTTCGAGGCCTGCGACCTGGACAACGACAAGTACATCGCCCTGGAGGAGTGGGCCAGCTGCTTTGGCATCAAGGAGAGTAAGTACCGAGGAGGGCAGCAATGGGGCTGGGGGAGGCTGAAGAGCACCCCCAGAACCCCTCTGTGGATGAAGCAAAGCATCACAGCCAGCCCTGGGTGAGGGGAAGCAGGGGCAGTGGGAAGGGTACAGGAACAGCACAAGGACCCTGGCAGCATCACCTCCTAACTTTGTCTCTCTCTTTTCCTTCCACAGAGGACATAGACAAGGATCTTGTGATCTAAACGCTCGCCTCCCTGCTCTGCTGCCAACTTTGTCATGTTTTAACCTTCCCACTTCCTTTGGTTTTTAAACTGCTTTTGTTTTGTTTTGTTTTTCCCTGGGAACAAGGTGCTATTATAGGTCTAAACATATGTAGTAACGGTGCTAAGAGAAATAACAGTCCTCATTCATAGCCTTATCTATCACCACTAGATTACTCACCCAACTGTTTCCACAAGCTCTTACCAGCCTTTTCTCTCTCCTAGTCTTTATTGCTGATTGTTCCTGTGCTAAATATCCGCTCTGCCTCACCATCCGCTCTCTCTGGGATGGACTTCTCTTAACTTCTCACTAACAGCACGTTCCTGGACACTCAGACACAAAACCCTCTCAGCTGATTCACCACCCCAGGCACAGATGCCAGCGAGGGAAGGCAGAGCCAGAGGATGTAGGAGGACTGGGTTCTCAAGCAGAGCAGCTGTAGGTGACATTGTGGCCACCCAGCTCGTGGTAGGAAGGATGGAGAGGGGTGAGAAAGACAGAGAGTGGTAGGATTTTGTTTTCCTTTTTTTTTTTCCCCTCCCATTCCCAGGGTTTGAATTTAGCAGTTACTGGGCACAAAAAAAAAGATAAACGGAACAATTGAATAGGGAAGCGCACAGAATTTAAAACAAATAAAATGAAATTATTCCCATCCTGTAAAATCCTCTTGAATAATAAAGGTTTGAAAGTGCTACATGCTTCACCATCACTCAATGACCACGCTGCTGTCGTGTTTTCTGTGTGGCTGCCTGTTCCCCGGGGTGTGTGTGGCTCGCCTTGATGTTGTGATTCAGCTGCAGGTGAGATAAAGCTCTTGGCTCGCCCCAAATCACAGTGCCCTTAAGCACTTCCCACCCCCTGCCTTGGCTGTGCCTAAATTCCAGCCCTGCTCTTTCAGGGAGGCTGTGTCAGACTTGGAAGGGATATTTCTGCCCAGAAAGTGGCATGTTTGCCACATGCTCGAGGGAAAGGCTGTAATATTTTTTTCCTGTTGTGGATTTAAGGGATGCAAAGGATGGAAGGGAGAAAGTATTTGGATTTTGCTTTATAAGAGAGAGTCCTGACAGGAGCAAAGTGATGGTTAAATCTCACAGGCTGAGAACTCTTTTTTTACCTCTGAATGTTCCCTGTGCCTTATATTATTAAATTCCTGCCACAGTGTGAGCAACCTGATGAGTTTCTGTAATAAAAAATACTGATTTGAAACACTGACAATAAACCAGCCTGCAATGTTCCTCTGTTTCCTCCCATCCTGGTGAGAGGGACTGCCTCCTCAACACCAGCCTGATGCATGGGTTCAAGTTGTTACCACAGGTCTCCCAGCCCCAAAAAAGGTTCTGGTCCAAGGTAAGCTGAGGAGCTTCTGCCTATTCCAACCCATCATTGGTAAGGGTTTGGGGAATATTGGATGGGAAATGTGGGCAGAGATGGGGTCACTGCAGCAGCCAGCACAGACACTCACATGGCTCTCAGGCCCTTGCCTTCATCAGCAATAAAATCCCTGGGAAAGGCAAAAAGGCACAAGAGTAGGAAAATAAACACCCCCATTTGCATGGGCTAAAAATAGCCAAGTTGCAAGAGCTCTGGCTCAGCTGTGAGGTCCCTGTTGACAGCCCCTGAGGAATGTGCTGTGCTCCCAGCTGGGCTGTCAGGTCAGATCCTGCCCAGGTCACTCCTGGCTGCAGAGCTGGGGCAGGTCCCACAGGACATAGACTTTGTATGGCCAAGGTGTTTGACCCCTGTGGGAAAGCTAAGCCCAGAGGGGCCAGGTGAAGCACAGCACCCATTCCCCTGGCCACGCTGCTTCCCAGGGCTGTGAGCCAAAGGGGAGCTCTCAGTGGAGACACAGTGAATGCCTCCCCACTGTGGGAGCAGCTGCTACCAACTGGCAGACCTGACACAGAGGGGCATCAATGCCCATGACCCCTGCAAGAGCCAGCTGGATGTGACCCACCTCCAGGCCTGGAGAGCTGTTGAGAGAAGTTTTGGGCAGGGGAGAGGACAGGAAGACAGGCAGGGGCTGCCGGAGATCAGCCATCCTGTGCAAACCTGCTTTCCAGTCACTCCCTCTCAGCCAGAGATCCTCACTCTGCTCCCCTGTGGGAGGCAGCTGCAGTCCTTCCAGCTCAGCCCTCCTGCCAGTGCCACCAGACAGGCACAGGAGCTTGAGTCCTGTGCAAGGGAAGGCTTTCCAGCCCTGCTCTCCCCTGCCTTCCCCTCTGGTGCACGAGTCAGCCCTGAGTCCCAGCAAGCTCAGGAAAGCCAGCAGGCTGCACCAGGAGAGCTGGGTATCTCAGCTCTGAACATGCAGTGATCGCTCTCCAGGGCCATGTCCCGTCCCATGGGACAACACTCCTGTCCCAGCAGTCTGGCAGAGCCCAAAGGAGCCAACCCAGTGCTCCAACAAAGTGCAGCTGCCCTGGCTTTAACTGAGCATCAGAATGAGCTCAGGAGGTTTGAGCTGGGGCTCTCTTAACCCTTCAAAGGTCACAGCCTCAAGTATCAAGTGGTTGGAATTTCACTGCCTTGGGGCAAATGCCATACAAGGGGTTATGTCAGGACTTGAGGAATAAGCTGGCCTCTTTGAGCTTTCAGACCCAGACAGTCAGCAAGGGTGGAACAGAACAGCCCTTTCCCTGTTGGAGCTGAAATGGAGCCTTCCCGTGCCTCCACAGCAGTAAACCAACTCCCCTGTACTTTCCGAGTGGAAATTCTCCCTGTGGTTTGTGCTGACTGAGGACACAGTTTGCAAACCCGAAAAAAAAAATTAAATAGAAAACTAACAGACAGATCTGGATCCAAAACCAGCACCCGAGTGCTACAGTGCATCCGCAGAGAAGGTTCCTTTGGTGCAGTTACTCACTGAGCCATGTCCTGCATTCAAGAGAGGAAAGATGGGGCAGACAAAGATTTCTGTAGAGATTTGTGCTGTCCTGTCTGTTTTCCTGACCCATACTTTTGTAAGAGAAACAAACTGTGGCATAAATACTGCATTAAGGTTTGTGGCTGAAATGTACAAAGTGCAGGTGATGAAAAAGGTGACAAGCCAGGGATCACTGTGACTACTCCAGTCACACACCTGGAAACAGCCTGGATCAGAGCCCCACCGTTTGTGTAGCTGCACCTGGAGCTGCTTCTACTCTAGCTAACAGTGACACTGGAAACCCATGGAATTAAACTCATCCTACAACATGGAATCAGGCAATCACAGAAAATTCTGAGTTGGAAGATCCCACAAGGATCTCTGAGTCCAACTACAGCGACAGGACAACCCCAAGAATTACAACATCTTGAAATCATCTGCTTCTTGAAATCAGGCAGGCAATGTGGCCACTTCCCTTGGGAGCCTCTTCCAGTGCCAAACACCCTCTGGATATTTAAAAATATCCAACCTAAGCCTCCCCTGACACAGCTTCACATCATTCCCTCAGGCTCCATGTGTGAAGGCTGATATTTCACACAGGTTCAAGTCTCATCAGCTAAAATCAGCCCTGCAAAGGAAGATTGAACCACGTAAGTGAGGGCTTTGACCCGTGGTCAGGTACTCAGGGTGGTGGGGTTGATGGAGTCACCATTCCTAGTGGGAATCTCATACACAGGTCTCTGCCACAGCAGTTCAAGCATCACCAGAATTACTGAGGGGGGATTTTATCATGGGTCTGGCACAGAGGGTGTCCCCCAGTGTTGGGATTACCTCCACCCATCTGCCCTGCTCCGGCCTGAGGAGCAGCTCCCAAACTGCCCATATCCACTGTGGAGCATCCTTTGGTCTTAAAATCCCATCTATTTGAAAGATGCACGAATTCAGACAAATCTTGCCCAACCTCCAGCGAAGAGACAACGCCGGGGGAAACCCTTCGAGGGACGCATCTCCTGCGGCCGGCCTGGAGGGAGGGCAGAGGGGAAGGGAGCAGAGACGCTTTTGTCTGCCTCCTGAAACTGTAAGAGGAGCGTCCTCTCCTTCCTCCCCGTTCCGCTCCTCCTCGGCCGGTCCCATCCCATCCCCGGCTGCGGCAGCGGCGAGGAGCGGCCGGCGGGGGGAGCGATGGGATCGGGATGGAGCGGGAGCTGCAGAGAGGCTCTGAGGAGCGATGGGATCGGGATGGAGCGGGAGCTGCGGAGAGGCTCTGAGGAGCGATGGGGCCGGGATGGAGCGGGAGCTGCCGGGAGGCTGTGCGGAGCGATGGGGCCGGGATGGAGCGGGAGCTGCCGGGAGGCTCTGAGGAGCGATGGGATCGGGATGGAGCGGGAGCTGCGGAGAGGCTGTGCGGAGCGATGGGGCCGGGATGGAGCGGGAGCTGCGGGGAGGCTCTGAGGAGCGATGGGATCGGGATGGAGCGGGAGCTGCGGGGAGGCTCTGCCCGCAGAGCCAGAGCGGGCAGGTTGTGCTGGGGCTGCCTGGGCACAGGGACAGAGGAGGGACCCGCTCCCGCATCCCTCAGCTGAGGGCTCTGCTCTTTGCAGTGGAGCAGCTCAGAGCCCGGGTCCCTTTAGGGCTACGTCCCCACCACGCTTGGCTACTGCATCCCATCCATCCCATCCCATCCCACCCATCCCATCCCATCCCATCCCATCCCATCCCATCCATCCCATCCCATCCATCCCATCCTATTTGCTAAACCCTTCAGACACAAAGCAGTTGATCAAATCTGAGCCTAAGTCTGGCCAGGGAGTCCACTCTGAACCTCATGACTCAATGGGAGGCTCTTCCTTACTCTTTGCACTCTTATCCTTTTGTACCTCTGGTCTCCAAGCAAATCCTTTTAAGATGATTTTGGTCAATTTTCCTCTGTATGCTTCATCCACGTAGGAAGTGACAGAGTAGATGTTGCCCATCAAACTCTGTTAAGTTGCAGTTTGACCAACTTACATTCAAACATGCTTTTACTGATACCTTTGTCAGTGACTCTCTAAGTGACCTAAGCCACTCATTCATGACACCATCCCACCCCACCCTGAGGTGCCTGAGCCCCCCCCCCCAGCCCTTCTGGAGCACAGATCATTTTACAATCTATAGGATTCATGGCTTATATGATTCCAAGTTTTGTGTTTTGCAGCTCGGTCTGTCTTCCTCACTACCATTCCCTCTAATTTTTGAACCTACTGGCTGGTCTTGATTTGATGGGGCATAAAACCACAGCCATGGCGTTCCTCTGGGTGGCCTGAGGACAGAGAGAGGATGCAGACAGACAGACAGACAAGTATTTCACTTCACAGTGATGCTGAATTCTAACAGGAGCTGGGCTCGGCTCTGGTGCCAAGGTAACTGCACAGTAAGTAATTATTTGTGTAAGGGTTTATCCAGTTTCTGCACTGCCCATGGAGAACTTCCATTACTTTCTATTTTATGTCCTACCACATAAACAAGGGCCATTTCCCAACTGAGCCCATTTTTTGTCAGGCTCAGTATTATGTTCCTAATCAAAGAAACTCTGATTCTGTGATTCTTGGGAAACAACTTGCCCCAGGACACATTTTTATGTGCATTCCCTACATTTTTCTTAATTTCATATTCCTTTTGATTGCTGCTCCATCTGGATTCAAGAGACTGCATAAGTCTCTTGTTATTTCTTGTCCAAACACCTCACTGATCACCTTTACTGCCTGGGTTTTGGAGACTCTGCTGCTGTCAGCTCTGGGGCCGAAATTCTCCGTGCACAAAGCCCAGCCTGACTGCAGCCTGATCGTGACT